TGTGCTCAAAGATGCCTGTCCACCGCCAGAATTACTTGTGGATATGAGAGATGCAGCTTGAGTAACCAATCCATGATTGCATAGCTCGTCTAATTTATCCGGGGAAGATGCAAAGGCTTCAGCTATGCGGGTCAAACAAACAGAAGCATGCTCCAACACCTACAAACATAACAAAATGTACAAGATGAAGAAGTAACACAATTTTAACACAAACTAAATGTCATTTTTACAACTAAATAATTGTCATTAATATGACGTTCAAGTTACCTTTGAATCATGATACTGCAAAAGATTTGTTAATAGTGGTACAGCTTCCATGACGTAATCAGCTGCATCTGAAGGGAGTTTCTTGCACATATTTGCAGCAGTAGATAGTGCCACTCGCTGAGACAAGGGATTAAATAGAAGAAACAAACTCATAAGATTGTATAAAGCAAGAAATTTTCTTCACTCCATGTATCATTAAGACTAAAAAGTTTTCACAAAATATTTACCTGAACCCCAGTAGAGAAGAAATCCAGGTATGAAAGCACTGCCATGAGAGCACCAGCTCGCAAACAGGCAGTTGGGTCTTCTTGAGATATCTTCTTTAAAGCTTGCAGAGACTGTTTCCAGCATTTCAACCAGAAAGATAAGAATGCAGACTAGAGTACACCTATCATTTTGAACTTTCTAATTCAAGTCTACAGTTATGAACAATGTAGTATACACTTTAGTATGAGCAAATCCCACAACAGTGAATTTTTATTGGTTAGTTAGAAACAAGCAAATTTTCTTAACACAGGCTGTCAGCAAAATGCTTAATCAACTATCTCAAATTGATCTCCATTCACGTCAATTGGACCCAATTCTAGTATAATTAGCAAGTCGAACTCTAGTTTACAATGACATGCAAGATGCAATTGAGTCAACTCAAGGAAGTTCACGTTTAATCACATATTCAATTACAATCATTTTCTAATAATATCCTTTAATCATATATTATTTCCAATATAACCAAAAAACAAAACCAACCTGTTCAGCCAAGTCCATATACTCTATAGTAAGCAACCTAGCACAAAAACACGACACCGCACCATAATGCACCACAGCAGCACAAGAAGAAGGCAACACATCACACAAATGAGTAAGTGCCCTAGCCGCAAGCAGCATAATATCAGGGTTACTCTCATGATTAAGCAATCCAACGAGCACGGGAACAAACGAATCCACAGAAAATGTGCTCAAGGACTCCTCAGTCCCAATTGAAAGCATCTCGCACAGCTGTGTCAACGCGTCCACTTGCTTCCCTTCATCTCCATCGGCACGCAATCCAGACAGAATCTTCTTCAACTTCCCGCTTTGATGAGACGATGACGCCGAGCCCATAGCCGATGAGGGCAGCAAATCATCAAGCCCGGCACCAAGCTTCCTCAACAAGCCTTGTAACGCGCTGCTTGCCGACGTCACATTCTGGTGGAAAATTCCCACGCCGCCTTCGCCGTCATTATCATCCTCATCGCCTCCGGAGGTATCCATATTTAACCCTAAGCTTCTCTCCGGATGATTAGAATTGTTGTTGTTGTTATCTATATTATCCCTATCTCTCTCTCTCTCGCGAATCCTTAGATCATGCTCCTTTTCTTTGCCTTTATTGGAGGCCAGATTCGGACTGTCACTTGTTGCGGTTTGGTTAGCTTTGCTGGCACGACGATCGCGGCGGGAACCGGAAGAAGACTCGGTTGTGGTGGGGTCCATTAAGGCAACAGCAGCGCGTGGTGTGCGAGAGCGAGTCGTGATGGCGGCGGCAGCAGAGGAGGAAGAGAGACGAGCGCGTTTGTGAGAGCGAGTGGTGGGACCAGAGGGAGAAGATGAAGGGGCAGCTGAGGAGGCCTCCGCCCGCTTCCGGCTCCGAGTTTCCATACAAAGGGGACCACCGCCCCTGATTATCAGACGGTCACCACGAAAAGATCAGACGGTTCCTGGTCCGATTATTCCTTGCATCCAAACAACACCTGCTCGAAACCCTATAAAATAGAAACAGAATTCACACTCGAATAAAACAAAAACCCTAGAATTAACAATCAGAGAAACAAGGCCTTTGTCTAGTTTTTAACGAAATTGAAATTGAAATTCGATGATGAAACCAAAACCTGCAACCCTAAGTGAAGAAGAAAAGAAGAGAACAAGTCATACTAAATTTTCTTCTTATTATATAAATAATTTATATACATAAATATTTTCAGAAAAAAAAAAACTTTTTTCTTTTTGGATTCTAACATAACAGTAATAAAAAAAATAAAGAAATAGTGGGAGTAGTGTAGAATAAAACGTGGATTCATTCTCCGCTTGGACCGTCGCTATCGGGTAATGGTTTATGAGGTGCCACGTAGACTTTCGCTCTTCTTTTTCCAGTGTAGGGATGTCGTACATACATAACAAAATAAAATGCAATACACGTATTAAAGTAAGTTTAAACAATAACAATCTAAACATAAGTAATAAATCTATTATATATTTATTAAATATATAAAAACAAAAAATTTTGTTATGAGTGATACGCTTTGAGACGATCCAAATAAATAATCATTAATAAAATTTTAATTCAATATCTTTTCATCGAAAAAAATAAATTTAATTGATTGAATTAATCATTTATTAATTTTTTTCATGCATATTATAAAAAAAAATGTTTGAAATTTTATATCTTCTTTTATATATTTTAAAATAATATAAAATATCAACACCAAAAAATAATATAAAATATTTAAGTATAAATATTCTTATTTTTATATATTTTAAAACAATATAAATTATTTAAATATATGTATATATATACATACCCATGTATGAAAATATAAAAATCAACATTTATCTTTTAAATTGCTTAACCTTTCGATTTAAGTATTTCAATATTGATTTGTAAAGTTATTAGTTGTTGGATTTTGTATATTTCAATCAACTTATATCATTGGAATTTTAAGAGACGTTGACGTTTGTAATATATTATTCTGAAGATTTTAAAAATAAATTTAATTTTTGATTTAATAAACTATTTGTAGCTATCTATCGGTGTCATATATCCTTGCTTTTTAAGTTGTGGCCGTGACACTGGACGAATGCACTAACACTTTAAGCTTCACCCCCTCCCCCTCATTTTCTCGTATTTTCTAGGTAAGTTTGTCTGTAACGTAAGAAAAAGGAAAAGGGTGTGATAAGGAGTGGGCTTTCGTATTGAAGTTATCATGGACCCCTGGTCGTGATAAAAAGGGGTCCACTTTTCAGGCATGGTGGATTTTAAACCCAGTTCGGCTTACTAGTTGGGCTTCGGTTTGACATTTGTCCCATTATGAATTTTACAAATTATTTGGGCTTGGAGATATTTATAAAAGAAAAATAAGAGCAAATTTTTTTGAAACTATAGTGATCTCAGAAATAATAAAATTTATAAAAAAATTTAATTATAAATAAAAAATATTATATTATTAAATTTTAAATAAATTAATTAACAAATTATAATTTAACTAGATAATCAACATATGCCTTACTCATAAAAATGCAAGACTAGGCTTCTTTGCCCGTTGGAGTTTGTTATATTTTTATATTTTAACAATTATTTATAAATTGTTAATGAAATTAATTGAGTTAATAAAAATTAAATATTTTGCTTGTAAAATATAAGTTTATTTTTGTTTTCAAAAATTATTCATTGATGGATAATTTATAAATCTAATATAAGTATTAATAAAATCTAAGGGTATATCCTAATCTTAAAATGAAGTAATCCTTTTTTATTTATATATAATAATTTAAATTACGATATAATTGATATAATTAAAAAATATAAAAAATAATATAAGAATTTAATTAAAAATAAAAATTTTAATATTTAATATATTAACATAAATTATAATAAAATAATTTATATATTTTATATGTATTAAATATAAACGAACAAAAACTTGATATGTAAAATTGTATATTAGGGTTGGTAGCCCAACTTATTTTTGATAGGTTCTGACCCGATTTGATCTCATAAAATTTTTTTTTTTGAAAATTTAGTTTCGGGTCAAGTTTGATCAAATAATGTTAAAAAAAATCGAAGTCAAGTTAAATTTGGATTTTAGATAAATCTAACATGATATTATATAAAAATTATTTTTAATTAATTAATTATATATAATTATATAATTCTATTTAAAAAATAAAAATTTTATATTTAAAAATAATATTTCATTAATTTCAAGTTAAATCAAATTGGATACTATTTATATAATATCAGTTTGGATCAAATTCATATATTAAAAAAATAAAAAAATTTAAATTAAATATATTTTAAATTTTATGAATATAAAATTAAATCAAATTTAAAATAAATAAAAATTTATTCCGATCAAACTTATTATCATTCTTACCCTTAAAACTAAAAAAACATATATAATTTGTCGAAAAGTTTCCCTACTGCCTTGCATTAAAAAATGCACAAATTTTTTAAATTAATTAAGAAAAAGAGTAAAACAAAAAGGGATCTCGGTTTACGATAGTGACCGATTGGGGAAGATTGATAGGGAAAAATAAAAAATGAAGGAGACAAACTAGATAAGAAGATACGTCAAACGGTCAAAGTTTTAAATGCAGAAATTTTAGACAAACTATATTTCCTTTTTAAACTTTTTCCCCCCTTCGGAACCATCCAATTATTGTTGACTTTTTGTTGGGATGCACTATTTGGTGTTGAAAAGACATTCACACCCATGTTAAATTTTATAGATTAATTGAATCAAATGGGCAATTTCGGTAACTTGATTTCCGCAGTCGACAACCCGTGGGCACGTATTTTACGCGGCTGGGCAACCGACCTCTTGATAAGAAAGGTCCAATCCATGTGACATAACACGCGTCAAACAATCCATCCATTCCAAGTTCCAATCATTGGTCCATCCAATAATTTATCGCCACGTGTAATGCTCCACTGGACGGTGGTTCCGACAATTCAAAATTAATTATACCTAGCTTTGATCATCCGTCACTCTCCACTGTTTAAGAAACACCTGTCGGAAGACTCTGTTGCCTTTTCACCTTCATTTCCTTCGGATATTCACAATAAATTACCGTTAAGATACAAAAATAAGTTGATTTTATTTTTAACTTTTGAAATATAGATCGGTGAAGGACAATTCCGTCAGTCCAAATTTTCATAATCTCGATTTTCGTTTTCCCTATTTTTTCTCATTAGATTTGATTTGGCGGTGCGAACGGTGAATTCTTTAGGGAACACGACGAGTTTCATCGAAGAGAGTCATTGATCCGAAGAGAGTTGTGACTTTAGGGATTGTTTGACACAGAGGGGAACTTAAAAAAGAAAGAAAAAGAATTACCGTTTGTGTTATTCCTTTTGCTGTTTTTTTTTTATTATTATTTGAATTGATGGGCTTTTTGAGTACTGTGTTGGGTTTTTGTGGATTCGGAGTTGGGATTTCAGCGGGTCTTGTAATCGGTTACTCCTTCTTCATCTACTTCCAGCCTAGCGATGTCAAGGTAATGATTGTTCTATGTTCTTTTGTGATCAAATGCAGTAGTTCTTATTAGATTGAAGTTGTTTATATTTGTATATTGTCAAGGTAATGATTGTTCTATGTTCTTTTGTGATCAAATGCAGTATATAGGATGTTTTAAGCTTAGAGTTCTTGTTAGATTGAAGTTGTTTATATTTGTATATTTATGTTTGTTTTAATCTTTTTTGGTAACTAAACGCAACATAGTCTGATGTTATGCATGGATTGCATATATTTGTATATTTAGATTGAAGTTGTCTATTAGATGATTGATAGATACTTATTAGGAAGAAATGGCTTTTGAAAAATTTAAGATTGCATAAGAAAATAGCATGTCAATCACCAGACAAAAATTTGACTAAGGATATGATTTAATTATGCAGATTTGATGCTATTAGGTTGACAGTGCATGAAATGGTTTCTTTAGCGGTTTTGCATCAGGAATGAATGGATTAACTAGTTAAATTCTTCAGTCTGGTAATGGGTGGGAATCTTAGCGATCAAATTCAATTCAAATCATATTAGATTAATCACATGCATATGCATATCTTCTTTGAAATTTTCAATCCTTGTTTGAGTTTTGAGGTTTTGTTATAATTCCAGTAGCAGGGTCCTCTAGAGCTTTTTTAACAAAAAATAAGCCAAAATGGGGTGACTAGAAATCAGGGTACCTTCCCCCATTTTCTTGTTGCTAAGGAAAATAATCAAAATTTTTGTAATTTGTTCTTGATAAATGGGGAAAAAGGAACACACAGGGAGAGTTGAAGGAAAGAATGTTTGATGTACTGCATCATGTGAATAATTTATATCTGTCACCTTTGTTTTCATTTTCTCGAATTTATTTATTTACACATTTGCCTTATCAGGATCCTAAAATCCGGCCATTGGTTGATCAAGATTCAGAGACATTACAAAAGATGCTTCCAGAGATACCTCTCTGGGTAAAAAATCCAGACTATGATCGTGTATGTAAATTTCAATAGTGTCTGTCACATTCTTCCCATGTCCGTTTCCTGCATTGAAATCTTAAAACTACCCTTTTTTTTTTTTTGTTCTGGTTTATGTGAAGGTTGATTGGATAAACAAGTTTTTGGAATATTTGTGGCCTTATCTTGACAAGGTTTAGCTTCTAGTCCCCACTAACGTCTATCTTTTCTTGGTATCTTCTCGCTTCTTTATATGTTTGTTCTTAGCTCTTTTCTCGTTTAATTACCCTTTTGTAGGCGATTTGTACAACTGCCAAGAATATTGCCAAACCCATAATTGATGAGCAAATTCCAAAATATAAAATTGATGCTGTTGAATTTGAAACACTTACATTAGGATCTTTGCCGCCAACTTTCCAAGGTTAGTCAATCAATTACTCTTTAATGGTTGTTCTACCACCAGCCAATGCTATGCCACTTGTCTTTTTTTCGGAAAGGCGTCTTCAGGAGAAGCTGAGTAAATTTTGAGAACTCTGCTTGGTAATCTTGAATAGGTATTGAAGATAGCATAAATTGTATTGTATTTAGCATGAATAATTTTTTTTGGAACGCCACTTTCTAGGATGTGGTAAATTATTTGAGAAGTCAGCATGTCACATAAAAGACGAGGATAATGTATTTATCTATATTAATTGAAATACTTTGCAATACAAGATAGATTTTGGGCCACACAATAAAAGGTAGTTGCCCTTTTTCCTGTCTCCCCAAACTAGAGGAGTAGCTCCTGGATGTTTAGATGTGGGAGTAGCATATTCTCACCCAAATGTTTGGTGCCCAAGTCATTAGACCGGAGCCTAGATTTTCAGATCAAAAACCATATTTGTGCAGTTTTGATGCAGTTGATTTCTTTTATTTTTCTTCAGATTTCTCACTGATCTTGTCATTCTTCTTCTCATTGATAGGTATGAAGGTTTATGTCACAGATGAGAAAGAGTTAATCATGGAACCATTAATTAAATGGGCTGGAAATCCTAATGTTACTGTTGCTGTAAAGGCATTTGGTCTGAAGGCAACTGTTCAGGTTGTTATTTTTTCCTACCATAACAAGTAATATTTTTCTTTTACACTGAACTACTTGTGTTGGAGAACTGAGAGGAGGTTGTTTGTTAATTGTGTTGCTTGGATAATTTCAGGTTGTGGATTTGCAAGTGTTTGCTCTACCACGTATTACCTTGAAGCCTTTGGTCCCAAGTTTTCCATGTTTTGCAAGTATCTTTGTGTCCTTGATGGAGAAGGTTTGTGATTATGGATGAAATTAAATATTCTATTATTTAGATGTTTGATGTTTCAACATTTTAATGTGATAAATTATTTTTTAAATTATAACTACAAATTTGTGGCTATCAACATAAAATATATGCCAGATGTGCCCTTTCTCAGACACATATTTAGTAGGTAAGTAAATTAATGGAAAATGAAATAGTTTTCAATATGCCAAATATAATGGTAGCCAGAGTACTCTCATCTAGCTTCAGGTAGAAACTTTTGTACACTACTAATGAGTTTTCACTTTAATATATCATGTTTTTCAAATTTCATGCTGGAAATGTTACTGAGTTTCAGAATGATATTTGAATCTCCAAATTGATAAGATAATTTTTTACTTTGTCACCTTTTTGGTATTCAGCACTTGATATTTTGAATTTATGACAAACTAAATTAGCCCTTCAAAAAATTAATCCTTGCTTCCCCTGGGAATGCTTTCAACGCCATCTTTTATCTGTAGGGATGTTTATGTAATATTCATATGTTCAGGTACTCTCATAAAAGCATAAGAGGAATTTGTATGGATTACCGTCAATGAATGATTTAAGTATTCAAATGCAAAAATTATATTTGTGAAATGAGAGAACCTTTTTTTTCTTCTAGTTTATTAGCCTATATATATAGTAATAAGTTTGCTTTCTTGCTTTTGGATGTATTGCCTCTTCCTCTCTCACTTTTAGATGAATAGCGATTAGTTCTTTTCTTTTTTAACCATATCTCTTCTAGTCTGCAGCCCCATGTTGACTTTGGGTTGAAGCTTATAGGGGCTGATCTCATGTCAATACCTGGTCTCTACAGGTTTGTCCAGGTAAAATGCCATATAATGTTCTGTCTCATTCTCAATTTTTTTGAGTTTCTCACCTGGCAGTTGCTAAATGAGGCTTTATTAAATGTTTCAAATTGCATTTCTTTCACCAAAAGCTCAATCTGTTGTAGGCACCTTTTCTTTAAAAAAAAAATGCACAATTTTTATCCTTAGAAGTTAGTGGGCCTCTCTTCAGTGGTGGTTTTATCTATGCTAACTTCTTGAAGGATGAGACCATTTTTTTTCCAGCTGTCAGAAAAAAATTCTCCTCATTAATGCCTCAACTGGCTTTGTCTATATGAATCGTAGCTTTGAATGTTAATGAAGCAATGCAATGCAGGAGCTCATCAAAGATCAGGTTGCAAACATGTATCTATGGCCTAAAACCCTGCAAGTACAAATTCTGGATCCAGCAAAGTATGTTTCAAGATGTTCTCATATTTTATTATGAGTTATGTTCTCATTTTTTACTTTCACTTTTTTGGTCGTGGCTTAGAAATCCAATTGAACTTGCAGAGCTTTTAAGAGACCTGTAGGAATGCTCCATGTGAGAGTTGTAAGGGCAATGAAGCTAAGAAAGAAAGATCTTTTGGGTGCATCAGACCCTTATGTGAAACTAAAGCTAACTGAGGATAAGCTCTCATCTATGAAAACCACTGTGAAGCACAAAAACTTGAACCCTGAATGGAATGAGGAATTTGATATTTTTGTTAAAGATCCTCAAACCCAGGCCTTAGAGCTTCGTGTTTTTGACTGGGAGCAGGTAAGTTTTCAGAATTTTTTTATTGATATGGAGTTTTATGTTTTGTTTCTATAATATTTGTTCTCTTTCTCAGATTGGCAAGCATGAAAAGATGGGTATGAATGTGATTCCTTTGAAAGAACTTACTCCTGAGGAGCCAAAAGTTATGACCCTTGAACTCCTTAAAAATATGGACTTAAATGACACACAAAATGAGAAGTCACGTGGCCAGCTTGTGGTGGAACTGACATATAAGCCCTTCAAAGAAGATGAAATACCAAAATCTTTTGAGGAGTCAAAAACAGTGCAGAAGGCTCCTGAGAATACACCTGATGGTGGAGGTGTGCTTGCAGTCATAGTCCATGAGGCACAAGATGTTGAAGGAAAGCACCACACTAATCCATATGTGCGTGTTCTCTTTAGAGGCGAGGAGAAAAAAACTAAGGTATATTATGACATTGGCATTTAAAATTTCTGTTTTCTTTGACAAATTAATATCTCTCTTTTTGGTTGTTAATTTATTTCCAACTATCCAGTATTTTGCTTCACATTCATTTGGTCCTGGCAGTTTGCACTGGGGAGCTTGCTGATTCCTTCCTAATTCATGCCTCTTATTTTCTATTACTAATTATATCTTCTATGGAAAAGACTCAATGATGGTGGTGATAGCTATCTTTTGCTGAAAGATAATCAATTCAACTGGATGAAGAAAATATTGAACAGCAAGGAGACATTAGTGGAAGGAATCCTTTTAGATATTCATGTTTTCCTTTAAGGTCGAATAATTTGGTTACTGAAAGTCTTGAAAGAATCCTGAGATTTTCTTTGTCTTTATTTGGATAAATCAATTTTTTTTTTCATCCAAATATGTAGGCAAAGCCTACTACAGTTATAACAGACTTCCAAACAGCAGCAAATCAGTTTGAGTACATCAAGGAAACAAAATAAAGAAATACAAGCATCACACCAAGATCATTTCCTTGTCAGTTGTTTGTCTTTCCTATAAATGACATGTTTTGTAATTTAATTGGTGCAGCATGTAAAGAAAAACAGAGATCCAAGATGGGAAGAGGAGTTTCTATTTATGATAGATGAACCCCCCATTAATGAGAAATTGCATGTGGAAGTTCTCAGCAATTCATCAAGGATAGGCCTGCTGCACTCAAAGGTACTGTTTGCACCGTTACTTGCATGCCATGTAGCATTACTCTTTCAACTCATCTTTCTTGCCAAATTTCAGTTTGTTGCTTTACATCCATAGTTATGTTAACCATGTGGCTTGGACTTGGATTTGGGTGTTGGACATGGTCCCATGGACCCATGTTTGTCTTTGCTGTGCAATATTTCATACTTCATTTCCTTGGACTTGGAGGATTGTACCTGAATGTATGTCTATTCCCAGGGATGCTTTGTGGATGTATGGAGAGTTCAGGTCTATGTAGATATTAGATTATAAAAATTGTCGTGGTTGTTTATTGTGTTTGAACTTTGAAATGTTTTGAATGGCATGGATTGTTGTCTAGAGACTGGATTCTTTTGCTGTTTTATTTTCTTTACGAAAAATGATAAGCTGACACTTATTTTTCGTTGGAGCTTGGTTGAATTTTGTGATGTTGTTAGTTAATGATGATTGTATTTGGATATCTAAGGATTTTTACAGTTTCAACTCCAGAATCATATGTACAAATATATACATAACACACATGCATATATGTTTGTATTTTAAATGTGTGTGCATGTTGGTATTGTTTTTCGGTATTCTGGGTCTGTTTTCAAAGTTTGCTACTATAACTTACTATTAACCATATTTCTTCCCATTAACAGGAATCACTAGGTTATATCGATATCAATCTTTCAGATGTTGTTAACAACAAAAGAATCAATGAGAAATACCATCTCATAGACTCAAAGAATGGACGGATCCAGATTGAGTTGCAATGGAGAACAAAATAAGCTTAGTGTGTTTCTTTCTTTTCTTACCTTGAATATTGTTGGACTTTTATGAATTAAGGATACTGCATCAAAGGAAACCATTTCTCAATCTGTCATCAGATTGAAGATTGAATAGGTCATTTTATTTGTTTGTTTCTATACATGATTGTAATAATAGCACCAACGACGCAGGATTTCTAGTTCTCAAGCTTGTAAGATAGAAATGAAAACAGTTATGCTTTGGACAATATATGACGGTTTGAGGTCTTCATACCGGATCAGGGCTTGACCACCCACAATACTGATGGTTCCTGTTGCGGCACGTAAATGCCTGGTTTTGGGCCGAGATTGGCAGGTCGCTCCACCGCAAGCCTGCTTTGCTCGTCTTCTACGTAACTTTCTTGGGAGGTACAACACAAAGGTTAGGCAGTCTTATAGTCATAAGCGAAACATTTTTTTAGCTCTATTCGTGAGTCTTGATTGGAAGATTATCGTTGAATTAAATATTATAGGGTACATTTTTGTGGTTGAATTTTTAAAAATTTAATCATAAAATGCAATCCATCTAAAAAATGGGGATAAAATTTATATGAAAATTTTTAAGTAAAATTGGTAAAATTTTTTATTAAAAATGATTTAATAAAAATTTTAATAAAAAATTTAAATCGATAACTTAATAAAGCTTAACATGAATATCAATAATACGTAAAAAAAAAAAAATTATTAAAAATATTATTTATAATTCAAATTGAATTGATATTTAATTAACGGTAAAAATTTTATTAATATTTTTATTAAAAATATTTATATCAAAATATATATATATTAAAATTTATTAAAATTTTTACACTAAATTTATATAATGAAAAATTTTAATATATTGATTTTATTTTTTATTTTAGTTTTGTTTAATTATTTTTAATAAAAAACTCGTTTCACCTAAAATTTGTTGTTTGAGTCTTTCCCAATAAATGGATCTTAATAATACTAACTATTTACCATTATAATTTTTTTTTTTATAAAAAAAAATTGCAAAAATCAGTTTACAAGAATTTGTTGAAAATAGGGTTCAAATGACACGTTATGTGAGATATGTAGATTTAACACACTTGGTTTGCCAAACAAGAATAAAGTAATTTTTTTTTAATTTCATGGCTAATTTAACGACTAGATAATTTGAGAAAATGAAATTAACATTGGCAATTTAAGGACGAAATCTAGAATAGGAAAACTTAAGTAAGAAGCAAAGTCAAGCATTGGAAACGTTGTGAACTTACCAATCTTAGAATGAGCTCGATCACGCGTAACGATCGCTCTCGGCCTCCGAAATAGTCCAACCCATTTATACCATATCTAATCCCGTTTGATTGGCTTATCTTCGTCTTCCAAATCCCCAAAAAAAAAACAAACCAAAACAGAACTATTCTTGCAGTTTTATCCTAACATTGAGTCTTGACCATTTCCTCACTTTCTGCAGTTGATAGTTGCTACACTGAAGAGAGAGAGAGAGATAGAGAGAGAGAGAGAGAGATTTCAATGGCGTTTCCTGTTGTCGATACCGAGTACCTTAAGGAGATCGACAAAGCTCGTCGCGAACTTCGCGCTCTCATCGCCTTCAAGAACTGCGCTCCAATCATGCTTCGCTTAGCGTATTTCTTCTTCTTCTTCTTCGTTTGTTTCCATGAAAGACGCAAGAAATATAGTAGGAAGGAAATCGAATTAAGAAAGAACAAATAGAAGCAAAGGATTATTATTATTTTTAGTAGTTTTAATGATAATTACTTTTTGAATGGATTGATTTTCCGTTATTGTTTTCTTGAAGGTGGCATGACGCAGGCACGTACGATGTCAGCACCAAGACCGGTGGACCAAATGGCTCCATAAGGCATGAAGAAGAGTACACTCATGGCTCCAATAGCGGCTTGAAAATCGCTATTGATTTTTGCGGTCAGACTCTAATTCCTTTTCTAATATCTTTGCTCTTTTATCTAAGTATCTAACCATAAAATTCGTGTAAAATGTTTATGCAATAGTTGACTTATCTGCAAGATTGGAAAAATATAGATCTTCTCCTTACAACATAATCTTAAGGATTATTATCCTATCTACAGTGTTGGAGTCTGAAAACTCCACATGGGACTTTTTACATTTCAACCATTTGTCTGTTTTACTGTAAATGAGGGAATTGATGTTGAATGATGAAGTTAATGTGTTTAATTAAATGGACATGTGTCAAACATTTAAAATCACTTGTTGAGTTTTTAGATTCGACTATCCTAGATATGATAGTTATTATAATTTTAAAGGAATGAGAAATTTGAGTTGCATTGCTATTACTTCAAGTTCATTCATGTTGATAGAGCAATTTCAGAATCTGGAATGCTGAAATAATTTTTAATATTTAATTTTTACTCACTGGAAAGGGGGTTTTGTTTTCTTTGTTTTAAAGGTTAGAAATCTTATGAGGTGGAAGCAGGGCCTGGCAAGTATGTTGGTTAGTGTGTTGACATAGGGTTTAACAGAAGAATCATTTGCTTCAAAATCTCACATACTAGCACGGCATGATTATTTGACAAGGATTTTGGAAGATATGCTCAAATTGCTTAGTAAAAGTTTAAATCAGGGCAACATAATCTGTATGCCTGTTTTGCAGAAATGGAAGATATTATTAGCTCAATGTGATTGTAGTGATTTTATTTTGATCTTACAGTATAAGGTTGAACTTGCATGGCTCCATAAGGTTTGAGCCATTGAAGTTTGGGTGGTACATTGTTTGTTGCCTTGGTTGACAAAGAACCATCCCTTTTAAGGTGAACTTCTGTTGTATGGTAGTCAGTTGTCTCCTTCATCAGAAGTTTGTGGTAGAAAGACATCGATCTTCATAATTAATTGGTGCAAATGTTGTAACTTCTATCCAAGTCTGAATTGCTAACAAGTTTTTGAATATATTTTAGTACATTTGTGTTTTCATGCATGTAACATATCTTCCTATGTATGGTTTGGTAGTTTATGTTAAAATATTCTTCTAAAAACTAAAAATGTTTTTATATTTTTATTTATGTTGACTAAAGAGTATTCTCTTTGAAACATTTCAGAGGAGGTGAAGGCTAAACATCCTAAGATCACACATGCAGACCTATACCAGGTGATTATGGAGTCAAAAGAGTTAGCATGCATTTTATTTGAGATTTGATTGCATCACCAGGGAATTAAAAAGTATATAGTGTTTTCTATTTGATTTTATCGAAAGAATTCTGATATGAAAAAAAATTAAAGATGGATCTATAGCATTAAGAAATCATGATTATGTTGCTTGAGAAAGTTTTTAAACAATATCTAGATCTTTTGCCAAAGGATATCATTGCATGCTTCCTGCAACTGGACTTATACGAAAAAGGGCTCTGCTACTGTCTTGCTATGAGTATTAAGAAATCATGATGCTGTTGCTTGAGAAAGTTCTTAAACAATATCTAAATCTTTTATCAAAGGATATCCCTGCATGCTTCCTGCAACTGGACTTATATGAAAAAGGGCTCTGCTACTGTACTTCTATGAGCACATTGGGGAAACAAAGAAACATTTACACACTGATTAGATCCAAAAACTTAATCTAAAATCCTTGCTGGAGTTTGAGGTGAAGGCCTCTGGTTTAGGTTCTTCAGATGAAGACATTTTGTTTGTTTACTTAAGTAGACTCTCTCTGTAATACATTATGTGGATTCACTATAATATAAAACTTATATTTAGCTAGGTTAAATGATTGGCCTGATAGAATTGTTTTATGAAAGATCTTGGAGAGTTAGAAACAGAGAGGATTGCTGGTACTTAACAAGAAAGAAGCTAGTAATTGTAGTATCATGTTATAACGGCAAAAAAAAAGGGCTATATATTTGATTAAATTTTTGTGATTTGTAAAAAAAAATAGATAGAAACATTGAAACCCAAACTGCTTAAGAAATTACTTGAGTTGAGAGGTGTTGTAGATTTTGAGACTGTTTGTTGCACTTACAGTAGCAACTCTTGTTTCTTAACAGCGTGTGTTCTTCATATGCCACACCACACAAATGACTGCACTTAGATTAAAACCAAAGTTGTTGATTTTTTGTTGAATGATGAATGACCCATGATTTATCATTTTCATTTTCAGCTTGCGGGTGTTGTTGCTGTTGAAGTCACCGGAGGTCCCTCTATTAACTTTGTACCAGGAAGAAAGGTATGTTTTTTCGGCTTATTCTTGCAAATGTAGCTTGTTTAGTTCATTTGATTAAGTATGCTTTGTTTAATAGGATTCAAACATTTGTCCCAAGGAAGGTCGACTTCCAGATGCTAAAAAAGGTAACATAATTTCTGAAGCCATTTATTTGAATTTCTGATTCCACACACTAAGAACTGTAAATTCTGATTTCTGGGTAATTGGGCACTTTAAATATTTGTAAATTTTGATGCTTAGACGATCTACATGGTTATATCTAGTCATATCTTTTGCTACTTTCAGATTTCTTTCGTTATGTGTTTCCTCAAACTAGATGGAAGATATAGAACTGAAGGCATTTGGAATCATGCTACTATTGTCTAATGGCTAATATTTTTGTGACCTTTGTGGCTTCTTACATTTTCTGTTTTTTGCAGTTCTAATGAACTAATTATGAGATTCATAGAATACGTTATGAGTTATGACTGTATTGTTGTCATTACCTGTTTGATAGAAAAAGCCATTTACTCTAAGCTTTTATTTCTGTCAGTTATCAAAGTAAAAATTCTCTTGAAGAATTCTTAGTTTGGATGGAGCATAGGTTACTCTTAACTGATCAAAAGATTATCACTGTGCCACCTTCTATTTCTTTATCACAGCTTGGATCTTTAAAATTAGATTGGCAAATAAATATCTGGATTGGGATCGTTGACCACATGTTCATCGCTCTCTTTTGGTGGTTTTAGACTCCTCTAAGAGAAACGAGTCCACAAGTTAGTGGTCTGGTTTTTCTGTCAAGTTTGTCTGTCTAGAGCCAGGAATGGGAGTATTGGAACGTAGTTACCGGAAGCCTTCATAACAGCTGCAAACTGTTCCCTAGGAGCCTCTTCTGTACTGGTTGGGTGACACCAATTAGATTTTTTAACAATAGTTACATCTGATCAGTATTCTATACAAGGAGAGATTGGCTTGGTACTTGGATCCATGCAATTTTGTTCATTGACCAATCATTCTGTTGGTTTTAGAAACTACTATAGACAAATTCCAAGAACTTTTGTTTTTTTTTTTTCCTTGGTAAAGAGTTCTGGAGTAATCATGTAGTCAATTGTTGCACCTAATAAGGTATCCGTGGAAACCAAAATGAAATTAATTAATCTATTAGTTCGGCAGACACTTTTGAGTATCCTCTTCCACATGTTTATCAGCTTACATTCAAATGCATATGTAATCTTATGTTTCTATTGTCTGGAGTTGTGGACTCTAAAGTTTGCATTTTTTTTTTTGTGAATCCTGGTGTTAGGTGCACCTCATCTGAGGGACATCTTCTATCGAATGGGCCTATCTGACAAGGATATTGTGGCATTATCTGGGGGTCACACTCTGGTACTTTTTTTTTTACATGTTTTTGTCTATGCCTGAGTTTGTTGGTTATAGATTCAACATCAGACCTTTTGTGTTGGCTTTGGTGTTACAGGGAAGGGCTCATCTAGAGAGATCAGGTTTTGATGGCCCTTGGACCAATGAACCGCTGAAGTTCGACAACTCTTATTTTGTGTAAGATTAAATCTGTGATTTGCAAGCTATTATATTTCCTTCTTACTCAGAATTCATATGAATTCATTTACTATTATTGTCCCAGGGAGCTGCTAAAAGGGGAATCAGAAGGGTTATTGAAACTTCCAACAGACAAGGCTTTGTTGGATGATCCTGTGTTCCGCCAGTATGTACAGCTTTATGCAAAGGTAATAGTTTAACTGAATGGCTTCCGTTTGTCTTACCTGTACATCCAGAGAGATCAAGGGGACGTTGCTAAATTTGTAATGTAATTACTTGAGTATTTATTACGGTTTTTTGTCTTCCATTTAGTAGACCCTGTTCTTGGTAGATCTTTATCTTTATCTTTGTTGGTATGTTTAGTGCACAAGATTATGATAAGATAGAATGTTGCTTTCATTGTTTCTGATTGGGCCACTTGTGCACTGATAGAAATGTCAGAATTTTATCTAGAGCCTATCCTGCAAACCTAATTGAAATAACTAGATTCAGATTAAACCAATATTTGAATAGGAAATTTTTTGTCCTCGTCTAACTGAATTCAACCTTGCTTCAAGTGGGCTTGTGCTGTTATAAGGACCCTTTGCATACCAACCTGAGACTGGCCTGTGCTTCTTTCAAATTAGGTAATTTGTTGGGTCTATATGATGTTCCTGTGCAATCCTGGTCTAATCTTAGCCAAACTGAGTCAAACACAGGCTAATGCCAACTACTATCAAATATGCTGCAGGAAGCATCTTTTTAGGTGATATAGACCAATCTTGGATTGAGACATTATGCAAATAAATATCTGTTCTGCTATGATTCCTGGACTACTAAATGCCCAACTCCTAGGTTGGTACATGGTTAAATTGATTGCAGTTGTTGGTTGGCATCCTCCAATGCTCTGTTATGATATTTTCTTCAATGAGGCTATCATTACCATTCTATTTCTTTTGAACTTCATCTTTCCATGTGATTTTTTTTTTTTTTTAGAATTTGGCCAATCTTATTTCTGGCATTTGGCAGGATGAGGATGCATTCTTCATAGATTATGCAGAATCTCATAAGAAACTTTCAGAACTTGGGTTTACTCCTAGTTCTTCTCGCTCCAAGCTAATTGTGAAGGACAGCACCATATTGGCACAGAGTGCTGTTGGGGTTGCTGTCGCAGCTGCTGTGGTGATCCTAAGCTACTTTTATGAGGTCCGCAAAAGAATGAAGTGAAGCTAGATTACAAGGTCTTTCTACAACAGAACATCCATTATCAATTAGCCGAACTTGGTCCGATCATCTGGCTAGCTATGTAGTTCTTGTTTCTCTGACGTGATATCCCCTCCTACATGCCATAGTTATTGCCATCTAGACATATTGGTAAAAGATGAAAATACATAAGTTGTTCCATTTGAAGTAAAATAACAAACACATGGATAAATTCTCCAGAGCCACTTCAATCGTGGCATTTCTATTACAAACCATTCTCTTGTACTCTGGTATGATTAACTTGGCGGTTGCTCTTCACGGTGATTGGTTTTCAATGCTCTCTGGTTATCGAACTCTTATTGAGCCACCTCGTTGAAGCCCAATCAGGTCTGGGCTGTGGCCCATGGTAAATGTAACCAAAATACATGAAAATAAAGAAAAATTTTTTAAGGTAAGGTGTGGATTTGGATTGTCTGAAACTGATCTTCCGCCAAGGTTAAGAGTCCCACATGGTAGGGGGGGGGGGGGGGCAGCCAAAAGAGAAACGAGGAAGGTAGGTAAGGGGTAAGGGTCTTCAGCCTGTTTAGGACGTCTCTCCTTATTCCTCAAGTCTTGTTCAATGCCTAAGCACGTGACATCCACGGGCCGTCACCAACAAAATCTGATTATTGACAATCCCAAGTCCTAACCAAGGCCTTAACCCACTTTTATGACCTCAACTAATCACCTAATTATAAAATTCCATTGCATTCTTTCGAGTCTTTATCTCTCTATATTTTTAGGGCAGCCATGTTGTTGCGTAGGGGAAGGCCGGTGAGGAAAAAAACTTGATAAAAGGCCAACCTAACTGATTGCGATGATGAGAGCCATCTGATTGAAATAGGTGAGGAACCATTCAATTCATGGGTGTAGCTATATGTTTGATCCATCATTTTTTAGGAGTAAACAACACATTGGTTTCAAATTTCTTTCTCCTCCCACTCTCAATTTTTTTTCATCTTTTAAATGTACTGTTTGTTCAAAATTTGAAAGGCAAAAACAGATGGATAGGCATTAAGTGGGTTTTTCGTTTTTGTTAAAAAAATTAAAAATAATCGAGTCGTGTCGATAAATAAAATCTTAATTGGTGCCCCCACCCAGATGGTTCAACATCAAAGTGAGGCCAGCGTTGGACTAGTGCAAGGATAGTCAAAAAGGTGAAAAAAAAGGTAGGTGAAAATACAATACAGATTGTTACATGGGTGGACCTCTCCCTCCTTCCCTTGGAAAACAACTTCTGCTCTTACCATTCAGTCGAATTTCATGATGAGAAAAGAGGGAGAAAGAGAGAGCACAAGGTGGGACACTCTCATGTGCGGTAGCGCGAGGGAAAGATTGAAGATAACAACGAAAAGGTGAAGTGAATCAACCTTTACCGTAACCTTTGCTGCCCTTTTTTGTTGCCTAAACTTACACCGCAAGATCAATAAATAATGATTTAATTTGTTAAAATTTATCAAATTCGATAAAAAAATTTTAAATTTAAATTTTATTGATAATTATGTACTGAAATTATTTTAAATGTATAATTTATAATTATTTATTTTAATTTATCAGATATAATATATTTTATTTTGATTTAAAAAAATTAAATTATTTATCTATTACGAAATTTATCCTAATAATAATAATAATAATAACTTACTCCACAAGGTTTGGGAGACGACAAAAAACCAAAACAAAAGAAAAGTGGAAGGTGAACCACAGGCCACATCCAACCACAACCACACCCACATATGATATTTCTTTTCCTATTCTTCCCTTTTCTTTCGTCATCCCGCCAATGACCCAACCTCGATCCAAGTCTTCTAGAAGCCGTGTCACTCTCTCTCATGCATGAATACTATACCAATAGAATAAAGATCCGCAACCACCATGATCTCTATATTATGATTTACACCCAAGAATTACCAATTATCCTTTTAATCATATTTATGATATTTGAAAATTATAGATTTAAAAAATTTAAATACATAATATTTTTTCAATCAAAGATATAACAAGACAAAAAAATTTTTAAAAAAAATTAAAGACCTGAAAAAAATAGCCAATCAATCACCCGCTACAGCTAACAATATAGCAAGATTATTCATATTTTCTCACAAAAAACACGCCTACGTGTACATATGCATATGCATATATTTTCAACTTTAAATTTGCTTTGATTTTTGTGTAAGTCAAAACTATTCAACAATTAGTTATATGTAATATTATCTATAATAATGATATCTGTTGATAAAATATATCTTATCTTACAGACATGTGATTACAGATCATGTATTCGATATAATTTCAATAAATAATCATTAATAGAACTCAAATACAAGATTTTTTTCGTCAAAAAACCAACCACTTATCAGTTTATACCTTATAAATTTCAAATATTTGTTTGAGTCATGGTAATTCCCTCTTATTTCTTTTGCATTTACAAAATTCTATTAACAATTACAAATAAAAAATGCACTTTAGATATGAAGCTCGGGTTTATAAGTAATATATATTTCTTATTGTGATTGAATAATTATAGTATTACAATAAAAAGAATTATAGATGAAATATTTTTCGAAATTAGGTTGATATTTGAGGAAAACGGATAAGCTTTACATCGAAAACCTATCCTAAGGATGTAATTAGTTTCAATAACATAATAAAAATATAAGTTGAATATGAATTCTGGTACATGTTGTGTAGTGAAGTTGGGGGAAAGATTATGAAAGCAAACTAAATTATTAATCAAAAGTAGTACAGGTTTAGAGAAAGGGGCAAAGGAAGAAATTAGGGGACCAAATGTCATACTTTGTCCTGCCCACACTTTAATTCCTTACTTTACACCTACCTGAAGGTTACCTACAGTTAAGATATATAGCCCTTTTAACTTATTATTATATATGATTGATGGTAATATTATCAAGAGAAAGGCTCCACCAGCCACTCCCTCAAACTTGTCTCACCAACTCATATCTAGAAGCAAAATTTGGTTCACTGCCCTCTCTCTTTCTTTATCTTTCTCTCTCTGGGTTTGTTGGATTAATAGTCAAAAGGCTATAAAACCACATCTAAAGTTCTCTCGAAGGGCCGGCCTCCATGTTCCAGCAACACAGAAAACAAGTCCTCCATTCCATTTTCCACCCTCAATACTACTTCTAAATTCTGAATTTTTTGGTTATTTATAATACTATGTACTATTGAGAAACATCCAAGCGAAGGTACTTTAGTGCTAGTTTAGTAGTTTTCCACAACTCAAATGGGAAGGTCTCCTTGCTGTGAGAAAGCTCATACAAACAAAGGTGCATGGACCAAAGAAGAAGACGATCGCCTCATCGCTTACATCAGAGCCCATGGTGAAGGTTGCTGGCGCTCACTCCCTAAAGCTGCTGGCCTTCTCCGTTGTGGCAAAAGTTGTAGACTTCGCTGGATCAACTACCTAAGACCTGACCTTAAACGTGGCAATTTTACTGAAGAAGAAGATGAGCTCATTATCATGCTGCATGGCCTTCTTGGTAACAAGTAAGATATACATATTCAACTTTCCTATTGTCATATGTGTAGTATTTGAAAATCTTGATTGGTTTTTGATGGTCTTAATTTTTTTTTTTTTTTGGGGGGGGGGATTCTTTGAATTTATAGGTGGTCTCTTATAGCTGGGAGATTACCAGGAAGAACAGATAATGAGATAAAGAATTACTGGAACACACATATAAGAAGGAAGCTATTGAACAGAGGTATTGATCCTGCAACTCACAGGCCACTCAATGATGCTGCTCGGGATGTAACAACAATATCTTTCAGTGGTGCTAAAGAAGAGAAAGAACAGCGTAATAACCCTAGTGGATTTGTCAACAAAGATGATGAGAAGAAAATCCCAGTTCAAGAAACGTGTCCAGACTTGAATTTGGACCTCAGAATTAGCCCTCCTTACCATCAAAGCCAGGCGCCAGAGCCATTGAAAACTAGGGGAAGGACTCTTTGTCTTGTTTGCAGTTTGGGAGTGAAAAACGGCAAAGGCTGCGCTTGCAGCATCGGTGGTACTGCTGGTAGCAGCAGTAGCAACAGCAACAGTGGTTATGATTTCTCAGGCTTGAAAACTGGCTTCTTGGATTATAGAAGTTTGGAAATGAAATAAGAGGGAATTTCAAAATTTTTTTTTAATCATTTAGCTCAACAGAAAATGGAAAGAAATGACAAGGAGATTAAATGTTCTTAGTTTTAAAATCCCTCTAATTTTCTCTTTATCTCTAATTTCTATTATTATTATTATATCAATATATATATATAGATATATAGTAATAGTAGTCCAGGTGACCATTATTGGTGAATGTTTTTGCATTTATTGGATTATACACTTTCTTTTCTTTTACCTTTATAATTTTTCTTTTACCACTCTTTTCCAAGAAAAAGTTGAGCTTTGTCACACCTCAATGATCATTGCTCAGATCTTCAAAAGGGTCATGGCTCAGGCTTAATTTGGTTTTGTTGTTGTTATTCAGAAAGAGGAAAGGAGGGAGGGATTTTTTTTTTCTTATTTTTATTTCATATGCAAATAGAGTGCTAGTCTTGAAGCAATGGTAAGATGTAGAAAGAAGGTTATGTACTATAAACCCTCACCCAAACTATCGTCAAGTTGAGAGTCTTATGCACTACAATTTGCCCTTTATTTATTTCAAATACAAATGATGACTCTTTCTCCTATTTCACAAACAGAAAATTGTAATTCAGTTGCATGGTCTATAAAATTCTTCCAAAAGCATATTCCCCCTTTTTTTTATTTTTTTTCAAACTTTTGTGAATTGTGATGTATGTTGATTAGGAGAGGATTTTATAACCTCTTTTTCCATTTCAGATTTTTTTTTTTTTTTTGGGAAAGGGGTAGATAATTTTCATTTGGAAGCAATGGATAAGCTGTGAGAAGAGGATGGAGTGGTGGATAGGCAAAGATTTATATAAAATTTTATAGGTGAAGTTCGATAAAATTTATTATTAGAAATAAGCAAATAAAAATAAAATTTTATATATTAAAAGATCTTATCACATATATCACTTATGCAAATTTTTAAAAAAATTACATAAATTTTGATATATTTATTAAATATAAATAATATTTTTATATATTATTGATTTACACATTAAACTTTATTAATCTATACATTTAAATTTTTTATTTATTTATTTCTAATAAAAAATTTCACAAATTTATTTTGCTAACCTATTTTTTCCACTCTAATAAAGGCTCTCTTTCACTAAAAAAAAAAAAAACCACTAACTTTCCCTAGTACCACCCTTCTACCAATCTAACATTAATCACTTAGGCAATGACATGAGCCCCAACCAACCAAACTATTAGGTATCATACCCCATCCCCGCCTTTGGTTCCCAAGTTCCACCTTTCAATTCATATTCCATTTCTTGCTCATTCTACATTATACTCGTCAATCTATCATGTTTTGAATTTGTTGTTTCTGAAGGTACATAATAAATTCATTTACATATCGGATTAACGAAAGAACAACAACAAAAATAATAACAAATAAAATATTCGTTAATTTTTAATTGTATGAACTCAAATCCGATTAAATTTTAATTATCAATATATCATCGGAATCCCATTAAATATTAATGTTTAATACTTGATTATATAAAGTACCCATTATCGTCCTTAAACAAATGCGATAAAAATGATTGGACATGCTAAACACTTTGCTAATTACTTTATTAGTGTATATATGATTTAATTAGTTGAAGGATCAGTACTGTTTGCATTATAATTGTTTATGTTACAAGGTTTGACAAGAGGCATTGTGCCGTCTAATTAATGGAGGATGACGAAGGTTTGATGGCTTCAACAATGGCGCAATCCAATTTTCATAGGTTTGAAGAGATCAGAAAACAATATAAGAATTGCAGTGATGACTGATGAATGAGTGTTATCTTTATATATATATAAAAGTGAAAAAATGAAGTCGGAGTTGGTAGAGAGAACATGGGTTGTTGATGAATGCAGGGGGTTCGAGTGTTGACTTTAAGTAAAGCAAATATTAGGTATTGAGACTCGAATTTCAATGGTTACTTTTCCCGAATCAAGTGGAAAATCATAGTTTATCATAAAAAATATTACTCATGTTTAATATATAATATTATGATAGAATATAATAAAATAATATTATAAATAAAATAAAATAAAATAATATTATCTTATCTTTATTTTTTATGTATATAAAAATTAAGATAAGATAATTTATTTATTAATCAAAATTATTATTTTTTAAAGTTTATAATTTAAATGATTGATATAATTTTTAAAATATAATAAAATATGTAAATTTAATCTTATGAATTAAAAATAATCATTTATTTTTTCAAATAATAAACTTATCCGTTCGATATAGAATATTTAATTCTTTCAATAATTTAATTTTTTTTCATTCGAATGCATAATAAACATATGATAAAATAATTAGTATTTTATTTTTCAACTAACTTTATGTTTTAAACATAGCATTTAATCTAGTGATTAAAAGTACTTGAAGAGACATCAAAGACCTAATTTCGAATCAAATTTTTATTTTTTTTTACTTATACTAAGATTTTACCTCAGGATGTAACAAAAAAAAAAAAAAAAACATAGCCTCTATGTATATAATATTGGAATCAAAACTTTACTTATAAAAAGGTTTTCAATCCAACTACTAAAGACAAATTAAGCAACAAAATTACTTTTTAATAGTTGTTGTGATTATTATTACCAAGAATCATATTTGAATGTTTGATTTAGTGATAAGTTGAAGTACTTTCAATATTTAAAAGATTAGGATTCAAATTTTTTTCTTTAAATAAAAGTTATCTAAACTAAGAAAAATATAAATCTCTTTTATAAATAAGTTTGAAATTTAAATTTTAACAATTATAAATATTTTTTTATTTTATATTGCAATCCTTGAGTATGATCAACCTATAATTTACACACTTATTTTTTATAGTAAATTGTATCTGCTCAAGGTAAATTTAACTCATTCGCGAACTTATTTTTAAAATATTTCATTAAAAAAAATTTAAATGTAATAAAAAATAAGTATAATTATCAATGAGTTAAGTATTCAATTATATATATTTATCGAATTTTATTTAGTACTTGAAGTTCTAAATGCTTTATTCAATAACCCTACTAACCAAAATTGAAATGGCAATGGCTGCCAGAATTAATCCATGGTTATGTCATTAAAAGTTTGTTAAAGCTCAGCCTTTCATCAGTATAAACAGGGGTGGCTGGCTGGCTTCATCAACAACCAGATAACATACCAATTATAAAAATAGCAAAAATACTATCTTTTATGGATGTTGCAACAACCAAACATTAAATCAATTTTTATTAACAACATATAATAAATAATTTAAAAGAGAAAGAAAGAAAATAATAAATCTCCCCCCTCCCAAAAAAATTATAAATAAAAATAAAAATTTAAAATTTAATTCAATTATTGATATAATTATTTATAAAAATAAAATATAATAAATTTGATATTTAAATTTTAACATTAATAATTTTTCTCGTAACCTGAAAATATAAATTTTTTATACTTAAAATTACAAAAACACGAGAATTAAAAACCCATTCCTTGAATGGTAAAGCTAAAGAAACAAAAAATAAAGCAAATGGTTGTTAAAAGATTTAGTTATTCGTGTATTCGTATCATGTAAAATTTTAAATTTATATATTTATATTATATTTTACATAAAAATTATATATTATAATTTATATTAATATAAAAATATAAAAATATATTTTTTATTTTATTAAATTAAATATAATTATTATTAAAATTTTAAATTATATTATTTTAATATTTTATATTTATATTATATTTATTTTATATTATCATATTATATTTTAAATTATCCCGTTAATTTGGTTAATTTGGAAAAGGGGATCACTTTTCCACAATTCACTTCTTTCTTCTTCTTTTTTTTTTTTTTTTTTTCATTTTAAAAGGTGTTAGGTAGAGGCATTAGAAGCTTCCATAAGATATTTTTTTCCCCTCAACTCTTTTTCCTCACTTGCTCTTAAAGAAAATTATTTAACAAGTCTCAAGTTATTTAATAATAATTATAGCTGCTCTGTCCCTCAATCAATAGGGTCATAATAATTGTTCTATTTTAATTTTTAATACTTCTAACTCCCACCAACATCACATGCATGACCTTTTCAGATGGGACCTTTTGGTTTTTTTTTGTCTTACCTAAATCACCCTCCTTTTTCATATATATATATATATATAATTATTAATATTAATTAGGTCTTTGATGATTTTTTTATAATATTACATTTTAAATTATATATAAAATATATATTTTTATTTTATAAATATTGTAGTACTATCTTTTTTTCTAATGTTTTAAATAAAAATTTAATTATATATTTTTACATTTAGACATAATATTATTATACTTTTATTTTTATTATTTGTTAATTAAAACCTTAAATAGTTAGTTCATGAGAATAAATGCTTTATCATACCAATATTTAGTCTTTAGTTAGGTGAAAAAAATGGACCCAATGGAACTTAGATAGGGTTAGGTAGCTTCTACAATTTAAATGCAATCATTTTCATCAATTTTTTTTTTTTGGGTAACATTCAAGTAGACCAAATTTGATTAAGACAAACACAACAAAATTATTAGTTTAAAAAAAATAATTTCATCATCTAATAATAAAATTTTTAAATTTTACATGTAAAATTAGTAGGGTAATACATTTTTCTTAAAATATATTAAATTTTTAATTAAAATATAAATATAAATTAATCTTTTAATTTTGCTTGTAGAATTATAAGATTATAACGATAATGTATTAAAAATAAATTTTTAAAAAATTATGATATTTTAGGTTAAACACAAATTCAAACAATTATAAGAATATAATTAAAAATTTTTTTTTTTTTTTTTTGGTGGACATTATGATATAGCAAGTACATGGTGGATTTATGACATAAAATTGTGCTGCGAAAAGATGGTACCACTTCTAAAAGGTAGGTGTGCCTTCCTTTCTTAACAACTACCTTATTATTCTTTTGAAAGCAACATGTTATTGAATTAAACTTACGAATTTCATCAGCTTCTGGTTTCGTTTTCATTGTTCTTTGTTCTTCCCTAGCGTCACATGTATCAAATTTAGCATACTCAAAACTTTTATACTTCATCCATCCTTTTTTTTATCTTTTTTTTTTTTAGATATCTCAAAATTATATATTTTTATTTAATTATATTTTAATTTTTTTTTACTTTCTGACATGTAAAATCATAAAACTTTAATTTTATAAAAAATTTAAAATTTAATATGAAATACATTAAAATTATTTTTTTTCTTTAAACATCATTAAATTCTAAACTCAAACTTTTATTGATAACTATAAAATCAAAATCATTTTATATTTATGTGTAATTTAATTCTCAATTATTATTTAATTATGCCAATTAAAATTAGCACTACTTTATTTTTTTTATTTTATTTTATGATAATATATACATGTATATTAGGGAAATAAAATTAGTATATATAAAGATTTTCGTTGTTAGTAATTATTTTTTATTAACGATTTATAGATTTAATGTAAATTATCATTGAAATTTATGATATATTTTGACTCTAATTTATGATTTTAAAAAAATTAATTATGTGATTTATGATTATAAAGAGAAAAAATTG